TGGCAATTACATGAAACTGTCTCATTAGATAAACTTATTTCTGGAGAGGTATAAATACATAATACTAGAAAATGCTCTTAGGTGTATGGTTTAACTTTTAGGTTCCCCTTTGTGGATTCAGGCCTTGGACTCAATGATCCTTGTGGGTCCCTTCCAATTCAGGATACTCTGTGATTCTAAAAGTATTTCTGTATCTGACCTTTAGGATTTCCTAACATAAATCCACCTTCTGCCTTGGTTGCTGCTGTGCAGTGCACAAGATACAGGAGAAACATGTTAAAAACTGCTCCATCTTTGCAATTTATTTACATTGCTAATAGTATTGCTTTTTATAGACTGCAAAAAAGGATATTAATTTTTTAGCAAACCAAAGAGATCTGGTAGGATAGTCCCTCATCTGAACTAGGGATTATTTTAAAAATTATATGCACACACTGTATGGCTGTGGGTCTTTTGGGAGGTGGATACTGGTCAAATGGTATTAATATTTTTTGTCTGATGCCTCAGCTCCATTTCGTTCAAATGTGTCAACCCTAATGCTTTGCCTTATTTGTGTATTTGTGAATAAGAATAAACCAGGAAGACAGATTCTGAGCTTACTAGAAGATGAAGAAATACTTTCCTCCATCAGTTATTCTTCTCCTCTTTCCCCATAAATCAGACTTTGTTGGAAATCTTTTCTGAAAAGGATAATTCCAAGGCTTTGAATCTCATCACTAAGACCTAAAGCATCCGTGAGAGAGGATCACTTCTTTGCTATAAAATGGAAAAAATATCTAGAATTGTTTCCCTCTCATTTCTGTCTCTGAAGTATTGTCTAGAAATAGCTTCATCTATGAAGTATTTTAAAAACATAATTTCTCCTACAACCTGCAAATTCCAAAGAAGCAAAAATGGATGAGTTTTGTTGATGTCCATTCTCCTTTTTTCGGATAATCAAAATTACATTGACTATAACATAGATTGTAAATAATTATGAATTTGCTCATTAAATTCATTCATTGCATTTTATATATAACATTAAAATGATTATTAGTTAAGCAGTTAAGAACTTCTAGAATTAATACTGCATATGCATGCCAAATTTTTCTCCATGTCTCTAGGCCTTATGATGGCTTTGAATTATGGAGTCCTGTACTGTTTTTGCATGACCCCATCTCTTAAATTTGCATGGTAGATGGTGCCTGCTCAGAATAAATTTATTAATGGGTCAGAAACAAAAAAGGGACTAATGCATTGTGGTGTTCAGTGCCTGAACATTTAATCATTTAATAATTCTAGTAGTATTTAAAGATTAGCATTATGAATTCCACTTCTGGAGCTAAATGACTAGGTGAGTTTGTGAGGGAGTGAGGCACCTGGACCGGGGATCCTGAGAAGCAGCACTCTGAGTGCTGAGATGCTAAATTAATTAAAAGCAACACAGAGAAACGTTTAGCTGAAAACCTGTTTCCTACACAGTTATGTGCATTTGCCTGGGGACTTCATTAAAACTGGAAGTCAGAACTTGAAACCCTGACATTCAGTGTTCAGATCGCTTTTCTTTAAAAATCCTTCAGTACAGTACGGCGTACTGTAGTGCCTGAGCACCTACAAAATTGGAGACTTGAGTCCTTTTATCCCAAGGAGTTTGAATCTGCATTTCTAGCATCCTGTGGTGATTCTCCAAACAGGTAAATCAGGTCCTTTTAAATGCTCAGGTTCATAGATAGCTAGTTGCTGTATCCTAGATAGCTTGGGGGCAAATTAAGCACCTAGGAGTTAGCCTAGGAAAGACAGGGGTGTTGGCAGGAAGCTTTTCTCTGGTCATCCTACAGATCCATAACTTCTTTGATGGGTTTGGCACAGTATAGTGGATGTGTTGTGTCACATAAGCACCAAAATCCTGCCTCAGTGGCATTTGCTTTCTTGGGTCTGCCCAAATCTTCTGTGAAATCAGTATTGTGTAGTGCCACATACATTATGTTTTCCCAACTTGCGTAGAAAAGAGATTATTAATTAATTTTCTAATGGACTTTCCCATTCCATAGTTGGTAAACTCAAAACATGTAAATGGGTTTAGATACCTCACTGGCTGCGATAGTTAGCTTTGTATCTGCATGAACATTGGCGTCTCTTACAATGAAATTGAAGTATAGCATTGCATCTCCACACGAAGAGCTGCTGTAAATAAACCAGTTGAAATTATCAAAAATAGCAAGTAGTGCGAGAGGTGAGGGGCCTGGGTTCTCGGAGTGGTAGCATTTTTCCAGCACTTATCTTCAGAAGAGTGTCCTCATTCACCTCCTGGAACTGTGAACCATCAGCATTCCTCTTGCAGAAAACATCAAATACACAGATAGCAGCGCTTCAGGGTAACAGCGTTCCGACAGAGTCCTTTGGCAGAAAATTCACTTGTCAGGCTCTCTTGAAATTTTACTTGTTGCCACGTTGTGATTTCATTGGCCTCATGAAAATTTCTTAGGCTCATGTTTTCTCTTTTGTTTAGTGCTTTACTGAAATGAAATTGCTTGACACAGCTGTTCTAAGCCTTAAGACATACAAGTGACCTCTTTAACTCTTTGTAAGTGTTCGCTTTCCTAGAACAGCAAGTATGTGGAGTGGCTGGGTTAGAGTTCATGCATTAGGTCATAAGATAATGCAGGCAACAGGCAATACAATAAATTGTACTTATATAACAGAAACAATATGCAAACCCAGAAAATAAAAAGGTAGTATGCTCTATGAATATTTTTGTTTCTTTGTCATCCTATAATATTCTCACAGATTAAATCAGATTAAATCATTGGGATTTCCAGGTTTATTCCCCGGTCGCTATGGACCACTGAAAAAGAATGAATAATTGTTGAATGCCTTTTGAGGGCTGCATAAGTAGTTCCAGCTATGCATTTTTACAAGAAAATGTGACATTCACTTTCATTACATAGAAGGCTGGAAAGGGAAACAAAATGTGTAAATATTGAAAGGAGAATGATAAGCATCTTTAATGTGTGAAATTACAAAATTTTGCGATGCAACAAAATAAATGTAAATGAACTAAATTTGCATGAACTAAGTAAAAGCGAGTACAACTTTGAGTGAGGAATCCTTCTTTATTCTTTAGTTCCTAACTTACTTCTGGAGGTTGCATCAACTGAGATTTTGTCTTCCCGTGAGTTTTTGTTTTACAAGGAGAGTAAATTTTCTAGAATGCAGGATCAAGTCTATTTTCAACCTCTGGAGCACAACTGCGTGGAAATTTTTTTATCAGAATGTTGAAAAGTTGCAACTTTTCTTGCACCCTGCAGATTTAGCAGTTTAAGCTATCCTGCTATTGGAACAGGTTTTTTAAAATCAATCCATATAGAATTTTTCCTCTATTTAACTTTGTCGTTTTAGAAACACTTTTAGTGACACAGATGATGTTTCCAGATTGGACAAGAAGTAAGCCTGACACCTGTAATATCTTTATACTGTTTTTTTCCTATCTGAAAATGTCAAAGTTATTTCTTAAATTTGGCCTGATACAGAAAACTCTTGAGCCTGTGCCTTTTTCTTGTTTGGTGAAGTTCAAGCAGAGGTTAACAATATAATTTAGCCAAACATAAAGGTTAATAAATAAATAACAAAGAATTATTTTTTTTTCTATTAGCTCAGCTCATAACTATAATGGAAGACTGCACCAACCTCTGAACGTTTAGTGCAAGATAAAATTCAATCATAAAAAGTCTTTCAGGACTCACTAAGCTTTTTATTCTGCAATTTAAAATATTTGTACAGCTATAAACTATGCAATATTATGGTATAACAATTTTATTAGAGTAAAAATAAAGGTTTACTACAAACATATGTTCTTAATCACAAATTAATTTTATGCATTCTTTGATAAGTTTTCAAAATGTTAATTCTATTGTAATTGCCAGGGGATAGATAATCATCTAGGTTAACAGATTTTGCTACTTGAAACATTTTCCATTTAAAGTCACTAATGAAAAAAAAATCTTAGTTGCAAAGGATTGCATATCTAATGCAGCTTCTCTTAGTTTTTCATGCCAATTTTGTCCAACATATGGTTTAAAATCACTTAGCTGCTGAGTTGTGTGGAAGTGAACTCAACAGCAGAGAGTGTACAAGATATTGTGAAAATACTCGGTATGCTTGTTTTCCTTTATATGTATTTTGAAATCTTGTACTTAAAAAAGTATGTATTTTCAGCCATGTCAGGCATCTTGGTGTTTGGACGGAGAAGTAATAGTGCCGAAAATGCTTGTGTAGTAAATACACAGAGGTGTCCCAATGGTGATTCGATTGGTGCCAGTTGCTCTTACTCATCACTACATTAAGGTTCAAGGAAGAAGTTGAGGGATTAGGTGGGACTCCCAGATGCCTTTAGATCTGATCTGTCCCCACAGATCAGGTGATACTTTCTTCTTTCTGAAAGAAGAGGGCCTTTCGCTGGTGAGAGGTATTAATCACTGTGCTTATGATAGCTGAGAGATGTTTTCTGTGTTTGCCATAAGAAGGTTTAAATCTTCATCATTTGTGGCAGTTTGTATGAAAATAAACATATTCAGTCTAGTATTATTGAAAAACGCCAGTTTGGGGCAGGTCCACTATGAAATCTGCATTTTTATGGATTCTCTTTCATTTTGTAAACTTCCTTTCATGCTAGAGTACAAAAACCATCCTGTGCTATAGGGCAATCTGGAAACAGTAGTGTTGTTTAGAGAAATCATGTTCCTTTTTTTGATATTGTAGAATTGATATAAAATTCACGATTAAATTTGTTGCAGCTGTTTCCTCTGAATTTCATGCTCAAGCCACATCATTTTCTTTTGCAGTTGACCACAGGTAAATTTTGACTTGATGGAAACACTCGTGGTGCTATGACCCCAAGCTGGAAAAACACCAAGCTCAATATTGATTGTATTTTAGCCTAAGCTCTCATTAATGAAAAATTAATATAAGTGAAAAACGATTTCTAGTAAGTGTAACAGTCTGGTTTTGTGCCTGTGTTTCAGAATTTTCATCAAGAAGTCAAGAAAACAGATGATTCAGAAAGCTTGTCAAGCCCTGACAGTCTTGAGACTGGAGAACAAAATGGAAATTACACAATGCCGAGTGAATCATCTTTGACTGCACAGTGTGACTGTGCCCTGTACAGTCAAGAAAAATCACAGACTAGGAATAATGGCTTGCTTTGTAGAGCTCAAAGTACTTCTTCTAAAAATACGCATCTAAATAATTGTCTGAGAAATGTAGATTTGCAAAACCACCACAACTTACCTGTTCATGATCTTTTAGCTAAACATAATGTTCTAACTCCCGCTGACCATGTAAACAGTTCAGAAGAGGAATCATCTGCTTCTCACAGATTTGGAAAAAAACCTGCAGAGTTCTCTGCCTCTGGTGAGCAAGAAAGCTCTGTAAGTAATGCATTTAGTTTTCTGCAAAATTTAAAAGAAGAAAGAAGCAAGCCATCCTCTGGAACGGCTAGCACATTAGCCTCTGGTCATCCTGGTTTCAATCCTAGCAAAGCCGGGGCCAGCCCTGCCTCTGTTCCAGAAGAAAGAGTTCAAGATCTGATGCAAGATCAGAGTTTTCAAATGACCCCACAAAAACGGACTGTATCTGTGCAAACCTCCAGTCAACCTATTGCAACATCTATAGTCTTATTTCCTAATCAGGGGTGTTCCACTGGCATTCCCAGCACAGCTGATGCATTACCAAAGGACAAAAACATCAGTACAGAGTTTTTTAAAAATACCTCAGGAAAAATGACTGAAAAAAAAGAAAATACTAAATGTATTGATGACATTAATCCAGGACCATCTTTATTTCAGGACATAGCAAAAGTCCCAGTTCTGTGCGATGTTAAACAGAATAACAAACAGGAAGAAGAGGTAAATATGGTAGAAATTATACCACTGGTGTCTGATATGGAGTTAAGGTCTGGCCCTCCTGCACAGCACAAAACCCTGAAAAACAATATTCTTGAAAGTAAAAGAGCAAGATTATTCACAAGTATCTTGAAGAAGGAATCTAAATATGGACCCAGTCATTTCAAACCTGTGGTTATGAACCATGAGACCAGTTTTGGAACTCGACCCGTGTCTTCTATCAGAGACAGTTTAGAACTGGGAAAAGTAAAAATGAAAAGTGCAGACAATGAAAAATACAGTAGAAAGCTAAGATGGTGTGATCAAATTAACCGGGTAATAATGGAAAATAATGAAAAATGCTATGAAAAAAACACCAGTGAAATATCTCCTGCACAGCTGCAATATTTTCAAAGTACAAATAATACTCCTAAGACTAATTTAAGTAGTGTTGCTCAACCTTCAAACCCCGTGTTCATGAAAAGTCATCAGAAAAACTCTCGTCTATCAAAACCAAATGTTAATACAGAAGAATCAAATAAAGAATGCACATCTCTGAATACATTTATGTCTACTGGATCCTTTTCTGCTAAAAAAGCTTGGATGGTATCAAGAGATGAAGAAAGTAAACTCCCAGTATGCAGTAATAATTCTAAAATTAATGAAGTTAGTCAATTCAAGTATAAGGCAAAAATAACAAGACCACCAAGCTCTGTAAGAGCCCAGCCAAGTGTTATGCCCAAGAAGAGAACAGGCACCATAATCCCACTGCAGTCGGCTGCTGAAGCAAACAGAGCTCTAAAAGCTCCGGCAAAATTGCTAGCACCTCACCCAGCATCCGCACATCTGCCAGGAAACAGCAATGGTGAGAATGCAGCCATCCCTGGGTGTCAGCCACAGCTGCCTTCAAGTCTTCAAGCTACCGCTGCAAGCAGGAAGGATTTAAATGAAAGGCATGTTTTGTTAGCAGGTGGGGTCACAGAAAACAGCGGGAGTATTACTTGTCATTCGGACTGGGCCGCTGCAATACCTACACCTGGCTGCAGCACGGCCAAATGTGAACCCTGGGCAAAAAATACTTCTGTAAAGAGTGTTCAGACAAGTGCCTGTCAAGGTCATTCAGTAACCTGCACTGAAAGAAGACCTGCTGATGCAGAAAATGGATTACATCTCCATCGTATCCCAACAGCTGGGAAAACAAGGACCTCGTGGCAAGCAGCTCACACTTCCTGCGCTCCAAAAGACTCTGGTACTGGTAAGAGTCATGTTTCTGGGTTTGGGTTGGGGGGACATTCAGGAGAAAGTCTTTTTCAATTACATCACAAATTTGTTTTCAGTTAAAACATCCAGCCTTTCATCCATTCGCACAATACCGCCAGTTTCAACAGGTTTTCACCATTTGTCATTGTCATTTCTATTCTAGTGGTACCCAGAGGCCTCTCAAGTGTTGATCCCCATAATATAATATAATATTAAATGAAAATGAAGTCTTTTCCCTGATGTTATATTCCTGATTAATAAGCAGATGTGGCAGGGGGGCAAAAAAAATATATAGGAGGAAGTGTCTAAGTTTATGTGAGCAAGTTTTACAAGGTAACTGGGAGTCATAGCTTGTTGTCCAACAGTCATTGCCACCTGAGTGTGAAAGAAATGTAGATCTACCGTGTTTTTTAAAATGCTGACACTGTGAATGTATAAAATTATTAAGTTTTAGTCCCAGTAATATAATTAATGCTCAAAAAAATATTAAATTTCAAAATAAATAGCTTCTACTGGACAAATTTTGCTGTGCTGCAAAATGTCTGATTTATAAAGAATTTTAAGATTTAGGACCAACCCTGCATTTTATTAAAAATTAACCCTGTGTACAAGATGATGCAGAGACTGATTGGTAAGATAGAGGAAAGATGCGTAAGAAATTTTTGGACAATATATTTTAATCTCCTGGTTTTTATATTTCAAAATATGTTTCATGTTTTTTGATTTGCCTTATTTCTCCCCTGCAGCCTAGCTATATTCTGTGCCTTGGGCACTGATGGCATCCTTGTGTTTGTAATTTGTATGTTGTATGCTGGTTTGCTTTCTGTTCAGGGGAGGGTTGCAGCTGGAGGGAGAGCTCCTGAAGCTGTAAACCCTGCTTCAGGTACAAGCAGTATCCAAACCACTTAACCTACTGATATCAGCAACCTGAGGATCAGCTGAGCAGCTCAAAGACACTTTCTAGCAAAATAAGTAATTCCCACAACTTAAAAAAAAAAATTTCTAGTTTTATCTACAGTAATACATAGTTTTAACTACAGAATTATTCAGAATAGCTCTGGTGTGTAAGAGCAGAGGTAGGTGAATATTCTTGGCCTAAAGCAGGGGTGGGAAATGAGAAATGTTATCTGCTTGTCTGTTCCAGTTCAAAGTGAAACAGATGAGCTTAAGATATGTGTGACTGAAGTTAACCTATTTGATTTTACATTGGGAATGAACGAAGTCTTGCATTACCATGGCTTGCCTCCAGCAGAGATACTTGCCTCTGGATGTCCTTATTTGCACATCAGATCAATGAATCAGGAAATCTACTGGTCCAGAGTTGTGTGCGCTGCTAATACCATCTGTTTTCACTGCAACTCTGAATGCTACATCCCCAGAGACACATAGCTCCAGCTCCTTTAGAGGAAGAGCTGAGTAACGTCTCTTTAAAATTTGGGTGGGTGGCGCTCTCTCAGTATCTGCTTAGATATTGTGATCTGAAAGTCTTCTTTATCTTAAATACTCTAGATAACTCTTAAAGAGTTGCTTTTATTTGTTCTATTGCCTGCAAATGCACGTAGATCACCACAGTCTGTCCTGAATTGCTTGCTATGAGAGACCAAATACTGTGTTGTTCTTGAGTAAAAATACCTGCTGTGGCACTACTGCAGAGCTCAGTGAGGTCACAGAATCACAGAATCACAGAATCACAGAATCGCAGAATCACAGAATCACAGAATAGTAGGGGTTGGAAGGGACCTCTGTGGGTCATCTAGTCCAACCCCCCTGCCGAAGCAGGGTCACCTACAGTAGGCTGCACAGGATCTTGTCCAGGCGGGTCTTGAATATCTCCAGAGAAGGAGACTCCACAACCTCCCTGGGCAGCCTGTTCCAGGGCTCCGTCACCCTCAGAGGGAAGAAGTTCTTCCTCCTGTTCAGACGGAACTTCCTGTGCCTCAGTTTGTGCCCATTGCCCCTTGTCCTGTTGCTGGGCACCACTGAAAAGAGCTTGGCCCCATCCTCCTGACACCCACCCTTCAGATATTTGTAGGCATTTATAAGGTCCCCTCGCAGCCTTCTCTTCTTCAGGCTGAACAAGCCCAGTTCCCTCAACCTCTCCTCGTAGGGGAGATGCTCCAGTCCCCTCACCATCCTTGTAGCCCTCCGCTGGACTCTCTCCAGTAGCTCTTCATCTTTCTTGAACTGGGGAGCCCAGAACTGGACACAGTACTCCAGATGAGGTCTGTGAGGACACTGCAGAAAATGTGATCTGTTGCAATGCTTGGCCTGATGCATGCTATGGAAAGAATAAGTGAGAACAAGATGAAGAAATAAAATTGTTGTCCATGAGGATCTTCCTCTAATTTGGGCTTCCAGGCTTCAAGTCGTATGTCTTCTGGCTGACACATATTATTCTCTGTAGCTGGATATTAGAATTTTTTCAAGTCCTTTGGTATTCAGTCAGTAAAGTGCTTTAAAAATGTGCATAACATTTAGCCTGTGACAAATAACAGGGCTCATTCAGAGGCTTATAGTTATACAGGGGTAGACTGCTCAGTGTCCCATGCCCTTAAAGAGACTATTGCTTATTATATCTTTGTCTTAAATTTCCCAAAATTTCTTCATGACTCTTCTTGGCATAGATCTAGCATGTCTTGCAAACTAATTAAATTAAATGTTGATGTATATCAATAGAGCAATTTTGGATTTTATTTTTAAAAAAAATGTTATGTGATTACTAATACAACAAGGAGTTTCTTCTTTCCTTCCTTTTAAATTTCCCCCTATATTCAACAGAACATGATCACATTTGCTTTTTTTTTTTCAGGTGCTATTCAGCACCGTGTGCCACATTACAATAATTTGCATATAACTAAATGGCAACCTTTTAAAGCTAGTGTCCCATGTTACGATTGATGGCAGCAGCCAGACGAGTAGTTTCAAATCTGCTTCTAGAATCAAGAAATTGTTTTCTTTTTCCACAAATGGTAAGAATTCTTTGTTAAATAACACTGTAATAAGAACTAAAGAAAGAAAATTGTGTTAAAATCACTAAAAGACCTCTTGGTCTAATCATGAACTGCACATTAAACAGCACACGTAAGTATTTGTGACATGGTTTAGCCCCACCCCCCCCGCTGACAACAAAGAACCACACAGTCGCTCCCTCACTCCCACCACCCGCCCCCCGGTGGGAAGGGAAGGAGAATGGGAAGGAAAGGGCAAACTCGTGGGCTGGGATAAAGACAGTTCAACAGACTGGCAAAGGGAGAGGAAAATAACAACAATAATACTGATAAGAAGAACATACAGAGTGCAATGTTCTCACTGCACAGTGCTCGGCTTGCTCCTGAGTAGCAAATCCCCCTGCTCCAGGCAGCTCCCCACTTAAATACCGCGGATGTTGTCACATGGTATGGAATATCCCGTTTGATTGGCTGGGGTGGGTCAGGCCAGCTGGCTTCTTGTGAAGATTAACCCTGTCTCAGCTGAACCTGGGACAATTTACTATGTACAGGAATAGGTAATTTATATTCCCCAGTGTAAATCAAGTAACTGCATTTACGAATCAAGTAACTCTGTTCACAAATGAGAATATAATATCTCCTTGGATATGGAGATTCCTGACTTGCACATGAAAATGCTGATTAGCATCTCCAGTTTGTATTCATGACAGTTTAATTAAGAATTTAATTTAAATTTTGAAACTTGATACTTTAATTTTAAAAATGTACTTTTACATCAGACAAAACTGAGATAAATTTGAGGTACAGTGCCTAGGTTAGGCCTCTCAGCCCGAGGGAAAATACTGTACAGCAGTACTGTCTTCACTAAAATTAGTATGCAGTTGTACAAATTAGTAAATCAGCTACAAAATCCCAAGCAGTAGTACTAAAGTTTTAATCCATGACTTTACATTTGAATCGCACTTGTGAGGCCACACCTGGAATGCTGTGTCCAGTTCTGGGTTCCTCAGTACCAGAGAGACCTGGACATGTTGGAGAGAGTCCAGGAAAGGGCCATGAAGATGGTCAAGGGACTGCAGCATGCCTCCTGTGAGGAAAAGCTGAGAGAGCTGGGACCATTCAGCCTGGAGAGAAGGTGGCTCCGGGAGGATCTCATCAATTTCTATAAATACCTGGAGGAAAGGTGCAAAGCAGAAGGAGCCAGGCTTTATTCAGTGGTGCCCAGTGACAGGACCAGAGGCAGTGGGCACAAACTGAAACACAGGCGGTTCCCTCTGATCATCAGGAAAGACTTTTTTTTTACTGTGAGGATGACCGAGCACTGGCACAGGTTGCTCAAGGAGGTTGTGGAGTCTCCATTCTTGGAGATATTCAAAAGCCATCCAGACATCATTCTGGCTAACCAGCTCTAGATGGCCCTTCTGTAGCAGAGGGTTTGGACCATATGACCTCAAGGGGTTCCTTCCAATCTCAACCATTCTTTGATTCTGTGAATCAAATAAACCATGTGAAGTATTCCAGGTTTTCTGCATGACACTACGTACCCTTCAAGGTCAGGTTGTATGGGGCTCTGAGCAACCTGGTCTAGAGGTTAGACTAGATGGCCTGTGAAGGTCCCTTCCAACCCAAACCATTCTATGATTCTGTGATACTCATAAGAAATCACAGAATCACAGAATCACAGAATGGTAGGGGTTGGAAGGGACCTCTGGGGGTCATCTAGTCCAACCCTCCTGCCGAAGCAGGGTCACCTGCCCCATCCTCCTGACACCCACCCTTCAGATATTTGTAGGCATTTATAAGGTCCCCTCGCAGCCTTCTCTTCTTCAGGCTGAACAAGCCCAGTTCCCTCAACCTCTCCTCGTAGTGGAGATGCTCCAGTCCCCTCACCATCCTTGTAGCCCTCCGCTGGACTCTCTCCAGTAGCTCTTCATCCTTCTTGAACTGGGGAGCCCAGAACTGGACACAGTACTCCAGATGAGGCCTCACCAGGGTAGTGTAGAGGGGAAGGAGAACCTCCCTTGTCCTGCTGGCCACACTCTTCTTGATGCACCCCAGGATCCCATTGGCCTTCTTGGCAGCCAGGGCACACTGCTGGCTCATAGTTAACCTGTCGTCCACCAGGACACCCAGGTCCCTCTCTGCTCTCCAGCAGGTCCACCCCAAGCCTGTACTGGTGCATGAGGTTGTTCCTCCCCAGGTGCAGGACCCTGCACTTGCCCTTGTTGAACCTCATCAGGTTCCTCTCTGCCCAGCTTTCCAGCCTATCCAGGTCACGCTGAATGGCAGCACAGCCTTCTGGTGTATCTACCACACCTCCCAGTTTGGTGTCGTCAGCAAACTTGCTGAGGGTACATTCTAACTCTTCATCCAGGTCGTTGATGAAGAAGTTAAACAAGACTGGGCCCAGTACTGACCCCTGGGGGACACCACTTGTCACCAGACTCCAACTAGACTCAGTGCCGCTGCTGCCAACCCTCTGAGTTCTGCCATTCAGCCAGTTCTCTATCCACTTCACCGACCACTCATCCAGCCCACACTTCCTCAGCTTCCCTAGGAGGATATTATGGGAGACAGTGTTGGAAGCCTTGCTGAAGTCCAGGTAGACAACATCCACGGCTCTCCCTTCATCTACCCAGCCAGTCATGTCATCGTAGAAAGCTATCAGATTGGTCAGGCATGATTTCCCCTTGGTGAATCCATGCTGACTACTCCTGATAACCTTCTTTTCTTCCACTTGCTTGATGATGGCCTCCAGGATAAGCTGCTCCATCACCTTACCCGGGATGGAGGTGAGGCTGACCGGCCTGTAGTTCCCTGGGTCCTCCTTCTTGCCCTTTTTGAAGATTGGAGTGACACTGGCCTTTCTCTAGTCCTCGGGCACCCCTCCTGTCCTCCAGGACGTCTCAGAGATGATGGAGAGTGGCTCAGCAATGACATCCGCCAGCTCTCTCAGCACAAAATCTGAATAACACCAATAAGTCGGGTGAAGGTACAGTAACACATCTCACTTCAATCCTTTGTTATACATAAAGTAGGGACCGAATAGATCCGCTGTGTGACACGACTTGTCTCTTTTGGCATCAGTGAGTCTAAGAAAGGGTAGTTTGTCGTCCAGACTGAATTTTTTGTCACAGAAATGTAAGATACAGCGTCTCATGTGACATGATATTGATGGTTTTATAAATGTATTACAACATATAGTCAAGTTTCATTCCATTCCTGTTTGTGTTGAACTGTATGATAGCTGTATGTATCATACATAACTGTATGATATGGACAGGTATTGCTTGCTGTCATTATATATTGCCAAAGTCAGCAGAACTTGCTCTGGTGCCAATTGTAAGAGGCATTATTGATCTTAATTATGGCATTTTCTAATGTGTCATGCTTCTTGACTTTGCCAGATTTTTTATCTTTCAATGTGAATTTTGTGTGTTTTGCAGACCTATAGTAGTGGAAGCAAGCAGCATAATTTCAAAGCAGTCTGTGATTCCCTGGAGGGTAGATTTAGACTGGATATAAGGAAGAAATTTTTTACTATGAGGGTGGTGAGACACTGGAACAGATTGCCCAGAGAAGTAGTGGAGGCCCCATCCCTGGAAACATTCCAGGCCAGGTTGGACGGGACTCTGAGCAACCTGGTCTAGTTGAAGATGTCCCCGCTCGCTGCAGCAGGGTTGGGCTAGATGACCTCTAAAGGTCCCTTCCAACCCAAAGTATTCTGTGATCCTATGATCTAAATGTCATGAGCTCTTCTCATTTGCAGTTACCCCTGTAATCTCTTCAGTTTCAGAAAGCACTCTTCAGTTTCTTGTGGCAGAAAAACTAGCAAGTACACCCATTGCAGAGGATGAAATCCTGGCAGATATGGAACGCGTGCAACCAGCCAGGCAGCCCCTGCTGCTTAGCAGGGCTCCATGTCCAGGCGTGAGCACACTTTCAGTAGAAGAAGAGAAGATTTTCCAGTCTCTTGATTGTCTCAATCAAAGGCTACAAAGTAAGTTTGATAAAAAATAGGATCCTACACCAAGTGATTAGGTAACTTTATATTTTGTTGTCATGGGTTAATTTGAATTAAAAACATTAGTTCTGTGATGCAAATATTTTTCTTCTATTTTCTTCTTATTATTATTCTTTACTAAATGTAGCAAACAGATCAAAATCACAAAACCTTTCTTAAAGTCAATGAAATTAATTTAAAATAGTGGTGACTTTGCCTTGGTCAAAAAAATCATTTGAAATATGACTGGAGGACACCTTTGAAACTAGCTCAGCCCAACTGTAGCTGTTGTTTCTAACAGATGTTTGTCAAAATTGTTCTTTAAAGATGTATCAGCCTCACTTGGGAATATGTTCCAATGCTTACCCATCTCAAATTTTTTGCAATTATTTTTGTGAATAATTACCCTATATATGATATACCCTATATTTTTGCAAATGTCACCCTTTATAATGAATGGCTTTTAATTTTCTTTCTTCTAGTGTTATAGAATGTTCCTCTTCTCCATGAATTCTTATAGATCACAAACACTGAGTTCTGAGATTTCTGCAGCCAAATCTGAATGTTTAAGTGAATATCACTTGCACAACTATTTTAAAAATGTCAAACTAACCTGTTCTTTCTCTATGCCAGGCTGATTTCTTACCTGCTTTATACTGATGCTTTTCACACGAGCTCTCCAATTACAGCTTCCATTTTGCTGAAGAATGTGGGGGAAAAGACTGTACTTGTTCTTGATCATTTTTTCTCTCCAGTGATTACTTAGCTAACACTTTCTTTCGTCATCCCATTGTAACTAACACACTCAGAGAAAAAAACGTACTTCTTGGGTCTCTTGCTGCTGTAGCTGATGGTTAGTATTTGCTTTGACTTACGTGAACATACAGGTCTTTCATAAAAATCCTCATTAGTTTGACATAGTTTCTGCATTTTGTGTTCTCCATCCTGTATTTGAAATCAGTGAGGACCTTGTGACTCAGTCCGCGTGGTCTCTTCACTGGACTGCTTGGCTTTCCATATCACAGGAATAACTTCTGCTTGCCATTTTTGCTGCTTATGGAACTGCCAACTCTCCTGAATTTTATGTTTTCCTTGGACTTTTTTCATATGAAATTTTACATGCCAATTATTTGAGTTTATAAGTGTCTGCTTTCTTGAAGTCCATTGATTTTATTTTACTATTCCACTACTTTTCCTTCTGGACCATGCCATTTCATGGTCAGGTTACCCAAGTTTAGCCCCTCGTTGACGGGAATCAAACTAAACCAGGGCTCATTAAGTTTCTGCGCACTATCCAGATGTTTCTACATCAAATGGTGGGTTGCTTGACTTTGAGGAAAAAGTCTTCAGTTTCCTGTAAACTGCAACAGCAGAATCAAAGATCTTTGCAACTGCTTAGAAACTTTCTGCAGCTGTAACTTCCAGTCCTTGCTCCCATCAAAGCGTGGTTCAGAATATTCATGGATATTGCTTTCAGGCAAACAGAAGTGGAGAATTCTGTCTTTTGTCAGAGAGGAATTTTAGTATGATGTGCTTGGGTTAAGAAAGTAGATATGAAGATAGAAATACAAGGAAATAGAAAATAAATTCTCGTATAAATAACAGAGAAATGACAAAGCAATAGAGAGAAAGGTAAATGCAGCAAAGGCACTGGGAGCAAGAAAGCTGATGTTTGTAAAGTGTGAAAAGGAAAAGTATAAAAACTGTAAGAAAAATGCATAAAAATATGAAAGAAATAATGAAAGAATCATAGGAGTTAACTGATTGCAAATGAAGTAACTGTGCAAGCAAATGTAATACATATATATATGTATCTTAGAAATTTAATTAGCTTGCCTAATTATTTGAGGATTAAAATTGGCAATAAAAAGCTGTGAAATTTTACAGGTAGTCTTACAAAACAGGTAAGTACATGTGAGCATGTACCTGTAAGTAAGTAAGTAAAGTGTTTTAAGTACTTACATGTCATGTAAGTCCATTTCTTTTTTAAACTGTGACCTTTTTCACCCCCCTTTTTTGGTTTTGCTTTCATGTTTCCAAATTAAGTGACTAAAACTGTGTTCCTTCATAGCGGTCTGTTTTAATGAATAACAGTTAGTCACTAACCAATCTAGGTCTTGAAATTTTGTTGCCAGCTTAGAGTAGCTGGCATTCTTTCCTCTAGCTTTAGTTTCCCATATTGACACTATATCTTTTGTTCAGGTAACAATATCTAGCTGCAAATTTTAAACAGGTACAGTATATACTTCAGCAGCTGTTGGTAGGGGGAAAAAAAGAACAGTGCTATTAAACTACATTTCCACAATCTTGTTTTGTGTTGTGTATTTGACTGTGAATCATATATCTAATGTAGCATTTGGTTTATATAATATTTATGATATACTTTTATGCTATTTTCAGATGTTCAAGAAGCCATTAGCAGAAACCCATCTGCCTCAAATGTTTTGCACATAATCACCCCTTTAGTAAGTATTTAATTTAAATAAGTTCAGCTTAAATTCCTGTAAACTGACCTTATGGTTCCCTTTTGAAATATGAAGACACCTGCAGAGTCCAGAAAGTTCCAAGAACTTTTAAGGAATAGTAATTTAGCAGCGTCCATTTGAACCATATAGAGCACATAATGAATTTGTATTTCTTAATAACATAGAGAGGAAAGAGGGAATAATGCATAGTAGTGCATAAAATAGTAATACAATGAATTCTTACTTTGATGTGCAGATATGCCATATTCTCTAAGTATTACCTTTCTTCAAGCAGTGTTTGTATTTTGTTTCATACATTCTAGATATTGTCAGTTCGAAACAAAATAATCATGACACCTGGAATATAAATAACTTAATAGACAGATGAGCGCCTGAAGTGCAAAATTTACATTTCAAATGTTCAGTTTGTATTGCATGAGCTAGTATTTATAATTCTGTGTTATCAGTCTTCTCCTTTACTATGCATTTGTACTGAGGAAAACATATAGACAGATGACTGTGCACTTCACATGATTTATATATTTTCACAAACTCCATGTACTTTACTGGATCAACTGTTACCAGAAATGTTAGAGAAAAAAACTCTTAATTCAGAAGGCTTTTGCCACTTACTGAGGCCCAGAAAGTATCCTGCCCCCTAAATTCAAAACAATTGCCTGGATTTGAAGTGGGACTGTGAAAAGAACACAGAGCACATCATTCTCTCTTCTTGTGAGTCCTAGTAGTAGGCGTGACTTGGAACCTCAGATTCCTCTCTTCTGCCTCCTGTCTTACACATTTAATTCCTTATGGGTAAAGAACTTGTAAATTTTGTATTTCTCAGCAATTAGTGTTGCATGTTACTTTTATTGGCCCTAACTGCGTTTTACTAAAGTATTTCTGAGCTTGTACATTCTCTGATGCTTTCTTTTTAGCCTGTGATGCTTAAAAAAGAAAAAAAAAAAAAAAAACACAAAAAAAGCTGTTCCCCCCACCATTGTGTTATCCTGGCTTTCAGTAGTCGGACTTTGTAGCTGGCTGGTCTGTGGCAAAGTTACTTATATGTATATATATAAATATATATATATACACAATATATATACAAGTATATACTTATATATATACACACAATATATATACAAGTATATACTTATGTATGCTATATAAGTATATACTTATATATGCAATTAAACAGCTGTCCAGCTGTAGATACACATTCAGATCTCAGGCACGGGCTTGGAATTGTTCTTGATGATCAGAGTGAACAACTGTCATACAAGTTCCCAGCTGCAGAAAAAGCATAGATGGCTGAGATTTCATCAGATCTTCTGCTATGAGAAGTGATGGGATTTTACATTTTTACTTCACCAAGAGGACCACCTGCTTCAGCTCCCCTAATTTCAGAGCATCCAAATAAAGTACAGAGAGTCATTCAGTAGTTCATGTTAATGACATTGTATCCTGTAATACCAACCTCTAAATCCAGATGAAGGGTGCACACTGGTTCCTGTAATGGAAAACAGATCACATGATATCATCAAATGATGTTTTTTTGAATGTTATACATAATCACATTTCTGTTTGTATACATATATATCTCATCATTCTCCATTTTATTACAGAGTATTCAGCAAGGTATATCCTCCCTTTTGGTGAACACTACAACAGCCTCACAGCAGTACCGGAACGCCTCAGTTAGAAATCAATTGCAATTGTACAGGAGGTACTGACATTATCTTAAACAAGCCACTCCAGAATATTGTAGCTTTATGTACTTTATATGTAACGTGTATACTATTTGACATTATAAAATTAGCAACAAAACAAAGATGAAAGCAGTAGCTCCAAATAATGTCAGTTGACTGGTAAGCATTTTTAGGACAAATTAATCTATTTTATTATGCATTGTCTTGTAAAATTAAAAGAATGAAAATACTTCACATTTGTAGTGTATGTATTGGTTGTGTAAATTTCCTGTACCCATAATTAAAGTGAAAGAAGAACAAATATTTTGCTACTTACTGTATGGGCTAACTACCTTCCTGACTTCTTCTGTTTTTCACACTTTGCTAATAGATTCTGTTACAACTGTAAAAGATCTTTGTGAACATGATTTGATTATCAGGAAATAACACATAGAGTTTCACCTTTTATCTTTATATTCGTGGCTGTATTGCAAATTATTGCAGACTGTTGCCCTTATTTACTAGCTACATCTGATGGCTCTAAACCTGACTATGCTCCCGACATCATATGTCATGTGCTTCTGCAAGTCTTGCTGAATTTGTTGGAGATTCCCATTCTCCAGATTTTTCCAACGTTTATCAACACTTGCACTTAAAGAGGAATTCTGCCTCAGCTCCTCACGTAAAGAACCCCAGGCTGAAATTGTCAGGAAATTAGAAAGAAAGATGCTTCCGAAGGAAACATACAACTGATGGTATGTAAATGCACCTTCACCCAAGCACCCAGTGAAGCCTCTCCACATCCTTGTCAGCTTTAGGCTGAAAAACAATTGTTCTAGAAACACAGAGCCATAAGCACCCGGCTAGCTCATCAGCAGAAGCTGATGTTTGGTTTTCCTGATCGGCTTTACCTTTGTAATCCATATCACAAAATCTCCACACAAAAGGAAAGCAAAGTGGGGACAACAGGCTTGGAGATGAGGACTCTGTTCCTGCTGGAGCCCAACAGTAATATATTCTGCAGAAGGGCATACACAGTCTAAGCCCATGTCTGAATGCCTTGCTGCGGAGCTAGGCATGCTTGCAGCTGCCTTTGTAAGCAGTTATTGTGGAGGGACAGATTGGTTCCGGCAGTTTTTGGACTGGCAGATTGTGCATTGGTCCCTCAACTTTAAATTCGTCGGTAGCATGACGATTCACACGTCAACGAATTTGACGTGTTTGGTGATAAACCTGTCTGCATCGCTATGTCGGTTTAGATTAAAAGCCTTTTGTTAGTTAACCAGCTTGATACCTAAATCTGTGAAGTTACTTAGTTGCTAAGGAGTGGTTAACTTTTAAACTTCCTCTCTTTGCTCTTCCCCTGCTGTTTCTCTACAAAGTGGATAAATGTTGAAACAAGCTGCAGAAGGTACGTGCAATGCACAGACCTGGTCAACAAATCTAAGCTGCTAATTAGCTGCGAGAAGCAATAAAAACAATTCACTAAATCTCTGGATTTATAACTCCATATTAGATGCCTGATTTTCTGTTTGTAGCTAGGCATTAAGAACTGTGGGGTTAGTCTGGGGTCTGACGCACCACCGTATTTCCACCAGCAATGTGCCCGAACCCCACGCAGTGTTACCGCCAGCCTCTGTCGAAGTGCCGGGAGCTGAGGAGAGCATGCTCGCTGCTGGACCGGTGCAGTCACAGGGATGCGCACCCAGAGGGACGCTGGCATTTCTCTGAATAGAATATATCTTCCCAAAAGAAGCAATCAAACTATTATTTGGAAGAAGTATTTTAAAAATTTTGTTATTCCCCATCATACCATGACCATCATACCATGGTCTTTAATAGGTGCTGGCATTGCGGAGGAGGGAACCAGCCTGTAAAAAGGAGACGAGAGACAACACGTGCCCAGCACAGCAACAGGCAGTTTATCAGGGATTAGAGCGACCTGCTGGTGCGTCAAGACTAAGGCGAGCTACACATGTAGCAAATAGCAGCAGAAATTCCACAAAGAAGGTTT